TATGTTTATGTTGTTGTTGATGATTTCTCAAGATACACTAGGTGAATTTCATCAAAGAAAAATCAAATGTCTTTGAGGTGTTCAAAGGTCTATGTCTAAAGCTTCAAAGAAAGAAAGAAAGTCGAATTGTAAGGATTAGAAGTGATCACGGAAAGGAATTTGAAAACAGCAAATTTGCTTAATTTTGCTTCTTTGAAGGTATTAGCCATGAATTTTCTTCTCTCATCACCCCTAATCAAAATGGAGTTGTTGAGCACAAGAATAGGACTCTACAAGAATCAGCTAGGGTCTTGTTTCATGCTAAGCATCTGCCGTATTATTTTTGGGCTGAAGCAATGAATATTGCATGATATATTCATAATATGGTTACTTTGAGGACTGACACTTCAGCTACACTCCATGAGTTATGGAAAGGAAGAAAGTCTACTGTCAAATACTTTCATGTTTTGGGAAGTACATGTTACATTTTGGCTTATCGTGAACAAAGAAGAAAAATGGATCTCAAGAGTGATGAAAGAATATTTTTGGGCTACTCTACTAACAGAAGAGTCTATAGAGTCTTTAATTCCATAATCAAAGTCATGATGGAATCTATAAATGTTGTGGTTGACGACTCAATTATGGAGAGTGGAACATCATTTCAGATGAATCATGATTCAAAGAATGTGGTAGATGTTGATACCAATACTGAGACTACTGATATTGAACTTGATGACAATCCAACCAACAAAGGTCCTTCAATCAGAATTCAAAAAGATCATCCTGAAGAACTCATTATATGAAATCTAAATGAATGGGTTACTACTAGATCAAGAGAGGTGGTTTCTAACTCTTGCTTTGACTCTAAGTTTGAACCCAAGAATGTGAAGGAAGCTTTAACTGATGAATTCTAGATTAATATCATGCAAGAAGAACTGAGTCAATCCAAGAGGAATGAAGCATGGGATTTAGTTCTTAGACCTAAGGGAACAAATATCATTGCTACGAAATGGGTGTACAAAAATAAATCTAATGAAAGTGGAGTTGTCATCAGAAATAAGGCGACTTGTGGCTCAAGGATACACTCAAATTGAAGGAGTAGATTTTGATGAGACCTTTGATCCAGTTGTTTGTCTTGAATCCATCAGACTACTATTAAGAGTGGCATGTTCACTGAAGTTCAAGATGTTTCAGATGGATGTGAAAAGTGTCTTTCTGAATGGGTACTTACATGAAGAAGTCTACGTTGAACAGCTAAAGAGGTTCATTGATCCTTCTTTTCCAGATCATGTGTTCAAACTGAAGAAGGCTCTTTATGAATTAAAGCAAGCTCCTAGGATTTGGTATGAAAGATTGACATAATTTCTTGTCAACAATGGCTACAGGAAATGAGGAATAGACAAGACCTTATTTGTTAAGGAGAAGGATGGCAAACTCATGATTGCTCAGATATATGTGGATGGCATTATTTTTTGGTGGAATGTCAAGTGAGATGGTTCAACATTTTGTCAAGAAAATGCAATTTGAATTTGAGATGAGTCTTATTGGTAAATTAACTTATTTTCTTGGACTTCAAGTAAAACATATGGATGATTCTATCTTCATCTCTCAAAGTTAGTATGTCAAGAACATAGTGAAGAAGTTTGGTATGGAGAATGCTAGTCACAAGAGGACGCTTGCACCTACTCATTTGAAGTTACCTAAAGATGAAAAGGTGTTAATGTGGACCAAAGTCTGTACTGAAGCATGATTGATAACTTGTTACACTTTACAGCTAGCAGACCTGACATCACATTTGCGTTAGGTGTTTGCACAAGATATCAAGATGAGCCCAAAATAAGTCACATCAATCAATGGAAGAGGATTTTGAAGTACATCAATGGTACTAGTGACTGTGGCATGTTATATTTTCATGGTTCTGATTCCATGCTAGTAGGATATTGTGATGTTGATTGAGTAAGTAGTGTTGATGATAGGAAAAGCACTTCAGGAGGTTGCTTCTTCTTAGGGAATAATCTCATATCTTGGTTCATCAAGAAGCAGAATTGTATGTCTCTATCCACTGCTGAGGCTAAGTATAATGTCAAGCAAGATGTCATGACACTATTCTGTGACAACCTGAGTGTCATCAATATTTCCAGAAATCTCATTCAACGTAGCAGAACTAAGCACATTGACATATGTCATCATTTTATCAAGGATCTTGTTAAAGACAGAGTAGTTACTCTAGAGCATGTGGCCGCTGAGAAGCAATTGGCTAATATTTTCACCAAGGCATTGGATGCGGATCAATTTGAAAAATTAAGGGGTGAACTAGGGATCTGCATTTTTTAGGAACAATAAGTTAGTGTTATTGCAGAAGGAGAGAAAGAACAAGATGTTGCTGCTACTAATGTTACATTTATAGTTGTTGTCTAAATTATTGCTAAAAAAAGGGAGTAATAGTATTGTTTGTGGTATTGGTTTCTCTTGTTCTCCTATGGACCTGTTTTGATTGGATGTTTGAATTTGTGCATGTTTGATCATGTTTGGTTTGGTGTTATGATGATGATGTATGTGTGAAGGATGTTCCCTTTAGGGGGAGTATTTGATCATGTGTGGCAGGAGGAGTTTTGTGATAAGGGGAGCATGGTGTTATTGTGTTGAGAGTTTATTTCTCTTTTGTGTTGTAATCGAGTTGCTGTGATGTCAGACATCTGGTCTATGAATGAATTCTGGAGTGTAAGAGTTTATTTCTCTCAGTGTGCTTGTATGTTTGCTTTGTTGCGTGTGCCTCTGATCTGTTTGTGCTTATATACCATGTATGCATGTGTTTTATGTATCTTGTGTCTTGTGGTTGTTTGTTGTTGTTTTATTCCTATTCTCCAGCTATATTATGCAAAGGTTGTTTTAGTGAAAATTTGTCAAAGGGAGAAATTGTTAGGTCTGTGATTTTATGATTGGCAACAATTTTGTTAAAACATGTATCACAGCTAGATGTTGAGCAAGATGTCGTGACATCTTGATCAGACATTATAGCAAGCTCAATTTTACTTCTTAGAATATTTGGTTTATTTATTGTGAGATTTTCTGCTATTTTATCTCACATATTTTTGCAGTTCAAGAAGGGTTGTTTTTGGAACAACTGTTTCTATTCTAGATGTGCACTTGTTTCATTAAATAGGATGTTGAGACATTTTAGGAAACATGTGATGTTGTTCCTTGTTTCAAGGAGAAGTTTTCTGCATAAATTATGCAATAATCAGGTTGTGGACTTATATCTAATTGGTTGAAGAGCCCAAAGCCCATGGTTGCCAAAGTCTTTTAAAATGACATTCTAAACCTAATGCAATTGGAGAAGTTGTGCAATCAAAGGAGTATTAGAGTTTTTAGGTGTTCATTGTTCATTGTTTATTGTGAGACACTCTCTTTTCACCTTGATGTTAGAGTTGGTCTGAGTTTGAGTTGTACTTTGTTAATCAGTCATAAGCTTTTAAGCAGAGCTGATTATGTGTCTTTAAATAGTGTCTTCATCTTTCTATTATCATTGTTAGTTTGTCATTGTTTGTGTGATTGAAGGGAATTGAGAGGGGTCACACATCTAGGAGTATCTTAGATAGAAATAGCACAGATTGTGATTAGGTGAGAAGATTGTAAACCAGAGGTTGTTTACTTAGGCTTCAAACTAATACTATTTTAATGGATTTCCTCCCTGCCTTGGATGCCCCCAGATGTAGCTGATGTTGCACCGAACTGGGTTAACAATTATCTGTGTTATTTACTTTCAACAGTTTACTTTTACTTGCATATTTGTTTCTGTTGTTGTGACTGATCTGATATCAGTGTCGTGACATCTGGTTCGACACATATCATATGTATACCAAAATTTCAAAGACCGACTAGGCAAAGAGGTTTGCCTCAAAGAGTCCAAGATTGTGAGATATTTTGTAATATCGGAATTATTGATGATGGTGATTTCGTCTATTCTGTACTTATGACTGAATCTGAGCCCGTTAAGACGGAAGAAGCCTTGAGTGATCCAAAGTGGATTTATGCTATGAAAGAGGAGCTGGGAATCGATTGAAAAAAATGGTACTTGGGAGTTGGTTAATCTACCGAAAGGAAAGAAGTTGATTGGTGTAAGATGGGTCTATAATGTGAAGGCAAATTCCAAAGGTGAAATAATCAAGTGTAAGGATCGACTAGTTGCAAAGGATTTTGCAAAGAGAAGATATATAATTTGATGAGGTATTTGCACCGGTTGCTAAGATCGAAACCATAAGGCTAATTGTTGGTATTACGAATAACAACAATTTGTCTATCTATCAAATAGATGTGAAATCTACATTTTTGAATAGTCCGCTTAAAAAAGAAGTGTATGTAGAACAACCCCCTGATTTTGTTGTAAAAAACCAATAAGGAAGATTCTAGAAGTTGAGAAAGTGTTATACGGGTTGAAGTAAGCTCAGAGAGCTTGGAACAAAAGGATAAACGACTTCATAATTGAGGTTGACTTTAAGAAATGTGTGTCTAAACATGGAGTTTATGTGAAGATGAATATAGATGAAGAGATGATCATGCTTTGTCTATACGTAGATGATTTGTTGATCACGGACAACAACGAGAAGAGTATTTCTAAGTTCAAGAGTGAGCTTATGAAAGAATTCGAGATGAGCCGCATTGGTAATCATGACGTACTTTTTTGGCATAGAGTTCCACAAGTCTAAAAGGGGACTGCTTATGCATCAGAGGAGATATGCCATTGAGATATTGAAGAAGTGTGAAATGGAGCATTGTAATGTTGTCATTACACCGGTTGGGACCAAGGCTCCAGCTGAACCA